ACGTATTGCAGGTAAGTTATTCTATAATCACGATAGTGACTACCACAAACTATTGGGAATAGAAATTTCAAAAACCAAAATAACAGAACCTGATCTGATATTCTCAGTTCACAGAATAAAGACAAAGAATAAAATAGTTGAAATCATGAGTCAATTGAAACTAGACTACCATGAAAAACCTAGACGCACTGGACGACCATTTCGTCCTATTGTGAGACTCCTCAGCAGTGCTCATTGTGGATAGGACGAAACGGCTGTCTAGTGCTTCTAGGTTTTCCATGGTGATCTAGTTACAGTTGGCTCATGAGCTCAACTGTTGAAATTACTACAATCTCCGCAAACAACCCCTTCTGATACTAAAGAATAAATAGACAATAAACATTGCATGGTTCGTTTATTTTTCAACCTTGATTTTAGCATGTTGCATTTCTAATGTCAAGGTCAATAACTATCCATTCTTGTTGTTGTGTGTTTTTTTAAAATATTTTTGTTCTGAAATATTTCATTTGTGCATAATTTATTGATATATCTATATGTGTATGCATGTGGTAACTAACTGGCAATGTTCAAGATGTTTACGTAAACAAGGGTTTGTGTTCGCTCTTTCTCTCGCTCGCTCTCTCTGTCGCTTGCTCTTTCTCTCTCTCTCTCTCGCTTTCTTTTCCATTTCTTCGAGCCAAATGGTATGATATAGGTCAATATTTCATTTCAATAAACCAATGCATATTTATCACGTTAACAATAAATCAACAAAGTCAATCAGCAATATTCTTGGTATTTTCTATACAGTATAATGAAAACAGTAAGTGTTACAATATTTTTGTAATCTATAATTGAGGTATGTTTGTGTTGTGTGCGTGTGTGGCGTGTATGCGTGCGTGTCTGTGTGTGTGGATGGATGGATGGATGGATACGTGGGTGTTGGTTGATATATATTCTAATGTTTATGTAATTAAGGGCCCAGTAAAGATACGAATTAACTAAATAATCGAAATCAATTTGATGGAATGTAATCATAGTTCTTCTTTTTGAAAATAGAAATTTCATTCTTTTCATCAAATATCATTGCCAAAAACTTCTCTCGTTTTCTTTCTCTTTCTCTCTCTCTCTCTCTTTCATATACCATCTAAATGACACTACAAAAAAGAAGAGTAAAGAAAAGAAAGAAATTCCGAGTTTTTTTTGTTATTTTGAACTTTACTCATCAATAAATAATGATTTTAATAGTTGAGATCGTGAGTCGATTGAAGTTAGACCAGTATGGAAAACCTGGAAGTACTGGACCGTCGTTTCATCCTAGTGTGGGACTCCTTAGCAGTACTCATCTATGACTCTGCCTTACGAGATTTGAATCTAGGACCTATCAGTCACTTGCACGAGTGCTTAGTCTCTAGATCAGTGAGCAGGTATTCAACAATGTTAATGTCTAATTTCAACTAATCCACGAAATTGAATGATACGTCCATCATTGACTCATTATCTCAACTCTTAAAATTATTCTAATATACACAAAATACCCTTCTAATAAAAATAAGTAATCAATCAGATTTAGTGAACTAAGTTGTTATTTGTGGATGCACTTTTAATCATAAACTAATCGCTGCTGGATTACAATTGAATACTTTAAAACACTGGATGGTTGTTTCGTTCTAATGTGCGAACGAACAACCTTACCACAGGAAGTTGAACTCAGAGCTTTGAACCTTTTATGATCATTCATCTCAACTGATAGAAGTTTTTGAGATTTCCTGGTAGTATGAAACTATCAGTTCACATAAGATTTGACTTTTGACCTTCAATCAAAACTTGATTTTTCGTACGTTCAATCCTGATCTCTTAAATTTTTAATCGTAAATTTTGTTTAAGACATGGAAACACATCCACCGTTAGACACATACAACATTGGAATCTGACTCAATGGATCAGTAGTTAAGGGTTAGAGAGCGAGATCGAAGGTCCCGGGTTCGACTCCCTATATTGTGGTCATAGATGTGTACAAAAACGATCATCTAGTGCTTCTAGGTTTTAAGTTATGTGATTGAGATCTTGAACCGATTGATGTTAGACCAACATTAAAAACTTGGAAGCACTGGACGGCCGTTTCGTTCTATTGTGGATCTCTTCAGCAGTGCGTATTCATGGTCGGAATTCAGTGCCTTCGGTCTCACCTGCGGAGGCTTAACTTATGGACCACTGAATTGGTATCTAGCATTGTTAGTGTCTAACCTCAATCAATCCACGAAATCCTGCGACCATCTTCCATTGTACTGAGGTAGATACCTATCTCTACCCGACACGGATTAGCTCCACTGGTCAGGGCTTCTAACTAGAACTTCGAGAATTCCTTCAAGAATGTAGTTAGTTTTGATCTAACAAAGATCACTTGACGATCTGAGCTATGAAAATTAAATAGATTGTTGAAATACAACCTTTTCAACTTTGGTAATCAGACCCAATATAAGTATCTCTTAAACGAGGCGAAGCATAAACTACTCTAATTAGAATAATAGTTGGTGTAATCAATGATTGGAGAATTATCAATGACATTGATCAAATTATTTAGTATTCAGCTAAATGCTTCCATTGACTAGAAATAATCACAGTTTTGAACTCTTCCGATTAATGCAACTGGCGTTTGTGAACAAGAACTCAGTTGGGGCCAACCCAATTTATTATTCAATGGTCAATTACAGAGTTCTTTGGCAAATTGTAAAACCTATTATACATTAAGTACTTTATTTACAAATGTTTCATCACTTGTCTTTATATTGTTCATGATTCTTTCAATTCACAATTCAGTCCTGTTTTCTACATTTCAATCTTCTCAACTTTCTTTTAACAGGCATCCAACATTGGATTCGTGTTATATGCTACTTATATCTGTCAACATCAGTAGTATACCTCATATAACTTCTATCCCAATACAGAAGAGAATTTGGGATATTTATTTTTTGTGGTAAGTATTCTACCATTTAATCATTCAGTTACTAGCCAATTGATTCGTGGCATAACAGTACACAAGTATTATAAAGATGTATTAGTGTCCAATGACAAAGCATCAGATAATACTAACTCTACAGGTCATAATTTATGAATGGAAATTGAACAAATCCATTTTAAAAGTATGTCCTGATCTAATTCACTCAATCAGTCAGTAACAATGTAGAACTTCGTACGTACATACATTAGTTCGAGTTGCCATACCACATTAGCACAGGCATGCAGTTGTCGATTCAAATCCCGTAGTGGTAGAGGCAGTAAGAGGATAAGCAGTAATCGGGAACATTAGGGCTTGAAGATGTTATTCAAGGAGTATAATTCAGTGAGATATATTTGGAAAGAAAATAAAGGACATGAAGAATTCAGAAGATCAGAATTTGAGAGAACACAAAAAGTGAATGCACTTGCACCATTGCAAACGATCTGATTCAAGCTATGAAGTCTAATTTGTTAGGTATTAAATCAGACTTTATTCAGTGTTATGCCTATTTTGAAGCTTAAACATAATAGACCTGATTAAATCTACCGTCACAAATAGTATATACTACTGAGATGTCTCAGTATTGTATTGTTAATGCAATCGTTTATATAAACTACACTTTTCCCAAAACTAAGATCCTGGGTTTGACTCCTGGCTGGTGGTTTGTGGACATGTATTACTGAAGAGTCCCATGTTAGGACGAAACAGTAATCCTTTGTCTTCAAGTGTCAAATAGTTATCTACCTTAAACCGGTTCGTGATATCAGTAAAATGGAATAATCTCTACAATCCTATATTGGTAATTAAAACTGTTGCTATAGGGTTAGTTATTATTTGATACTCTGTTCTAATTTCATTAGTAATATCATTTTGGCTATGCTCTATGCCAAGACTATTACATCACGTTAAGTAATACATCATCTATGTATATATATCTGAATCATCATAATTGACAACGTATAATGGATTGGAATTTATAATGTCACATGGTATCTTATTCACAAAAGCGTATACACGTCCCGTAAATGTAATTCTATTGTGATTAAACAGTACGATTTAATTGGTTTATTCTGGTTACCGTTTTTCAGCAAAGCTGTTTTCTACGGGATGTAGTTACCGATACTATACCCAACCCTCTTCCTTTACCCGGGCTTGAGACCGACAGTAGCCCTAGAAGAGCTACAGGCGAAGTGGAGGATCTGATGCAGACGTAAAGGCGAGAATTGACAAAGCAACGACATCATTCCTACAATTGAAAAACATATGCAACTTAAATCAAATGTCTTTTGAAAATTACCAATGTCACATTCTTCAATACGAATGTCAACATAGTTCTACTGTGTGGAGCCGAGACTTCGAGAAATACCACAACCATCATTAAAGAAATACAAGTATTTATAGACAATTGTCTACATAAGATACTCGATATCCGTAACCGGATACCATCCAAAGCAGCGTACTATGTGAGAGAACAAACCAACTTTCATATGAAGAGAAAATTGGGAAAAGATGTTGGAAGTGAATAGGACATACATTGAGGAGATCATCAAACTGCATTACGAAGCAAGCGTTAAATTTAAATCCTAAAGGCGAAAGGAAAAGAGACCAAAGAACACACTTCGTCAAGCCGTGGAAACAGACATGTAAAGAAGGAATATAAACTGGAAGGGATTGACCAGAACAGAATTGGATGAAGAATGGTGGTGAGTGGCCTATGCTCCTCCATGAAGGGTAACATGCATAATTAAGTAAGTAAATAATACAATGTGTAAACTTCTTCATTCTTAATAGTGACGGTATGTTTTCTAAGATCTTTTAATGTAAAAATTCCAGATATTTATAAGATACTATTCATCATATCAATCAGAAAATCAATGAAAATCTAAGATCGTCGGAAAATATTTCAACAATGAATCTCGTTGAATGAGGAATAAGATTTCCTTCAATGACGTTGCTATCTATCTATCTATCTATCTATCTATCCATCTATCTATCTATCTATCTATCTATCTATCTATCTATCTATCTATCTATCTATCTATCTATCTATCTATCTATCTATCTATCTATCTATCTATCTATCTATCTATCTATCTATCTATCTATCTATCTATCCACACATGTATCTATCTATCTATCTATCTATCCACACATCTATCTATCTATCTATCTATCTATCTATCTATCTATCTATCTATCTATCTATCTATCTATCTATCTATCTATCTCTAAATACCTCCTGTGCTCTCAATCGATAAATCCGATATTAATTTGCATTTTTGTTGTTACCTGGCAATGAATGTAAACAACCCTTTTCATGTATATCAATTTACTGACTATTACTACTACTACTATTAAGTAGAAAGTTTAAAGTCACAAAGGCATTATGTAATCCACATAAAGTAGTCGGATCGATTTGTTGATGAATGGATTGATTAAATTTAAGAATCATATGACTGAGACTTGTTATGTCATCAAATGGTAAAAATGAACATGGTTTGTTTATAAACAAGACACAATTGAACATTGAATATATAGACATATATATATTCATATTTGCGCTTTAATATACAAGGTCAAATTGATAGGGAAAAATCCCGCTAAAAGATTTGGACAAATGGACTGTTTCATTATGTTCACACAGTACTGTTTACTTGAATCGTCCAATTGATTTTTAGGACTGCCTGAATTCACAAGCAGGACATTAGGCACTTAAAACACCATAGGATGACCAAATCAGTAGAATGGCTTGAGCAAGTCTAAACATTTGTAGGTAGTACATAGACAATTATAACCGATTAGACAATTCGAACTTCACAGATAAATTAGCCCTCCGATCCCATACACATGAACAAATGTAGATGAAGACAACTAGTGTAGCACCAGCCTCTGTATCAGTAGGCCTCAAAGGAAAAAGTAACATCCTTAAATACAACATGGAGAACACCAACCCAATCACACTTGATGGAGAAGCTCTGGAGGCGAGATTCTAATTGATGGACGAGACAATCAGAAGCGTTTGAGAGATTTCAAGGTCATGGCGCCGACGTCAGTGATTAATGATAACGTACGATCGGTTCACAGGGAATTTTGTACAATACGTGATAATTAAGCGGCTATAACAAATAAAACGGCGAGACTATAATTTGTGGATGAATTAATCAGGTATGAGATAACAGATCTTGTATTTTGGCGCGAAAGACGTTCATCCATTTGGCTAAATAAATTTCTGGCATTATAGCTGATGTCAGTTTGTGATGAAAACCCCATATATAATTCCTAACTAAGGCAAATTATGACAATTATTGCAAACTGGATAATAAAAGCACCAGTAATACTGGCTGCATCCAGGTACTACAATATATACGGATGTTTAGAGAGCGTACAGACTCCTACATAGGCTTGGTTATGTGTATTGTGTCGTTATCCAAAAGTGGCATTTTGTGTACTCAACAATCGGAGTGCACATAAACAATATTGAAGCTATGTGGTCGAGGCTGAAAGAGTTTTTGAGTCTTTATCATGACCTCAGAGGCCGACTATTCTGTAGCCATATGGATGAGATCCTCTGTTATATGCGTTACGAATTTGGAGCCTCTGAACCTCTTTCTAACCTTGACAAGTTTTTGAACCACGTATAAGAAGTCTATCCACTTTCTTTGGTTTTTTTATAATATATTTTTCCTCAATAATGACTGGTTGATGATTGGTTAATATTTCTCAGGGTCACTTAAGATTCGTTCAAAGGTCGTCCATAAATTATAGTCTCGCCGCTCTGGAAGAGGTAGAATCCTTCACGTACCTGGGACGCATCAGCGATGAACAAGGAGGATCAAATGCAGACGTAAAGGCGAGGATTCGCAAAGCAAGAGCCGCATTCCTACAGTTGAAGAACATATGGAACTCAAAACAACTTTCAACCAATATCAAAGTCAGAATCCTTAATACGAAAGTCAAACAGATCTACTGTACGGAACTGAAACTTCGAGAACTATTACAACCATCATCAACAAGGTATAAGTATTTATAAACAGTTGTTTACGGAGATACTCCACATCTATTGGTCAGATACCATCAGTAACAGCCTTCTGTGGGAGAGAACAAACCAACTTCCAGCTGAAGAGGAAATTAGGAAAAGACCTTGGCAACGGATAGGACATACATTACGGAAATCAGTAAACTGTAATACAAGGCAAGCATTAAAATAGAATCCTGAATGGAAGAGCAAAAGAGAATGGCCAAAGAAGACAATACATCGGGAAATAGAATCAGATATGAAAAGGATGAATAATAACTGGAAAGGATTGTTGAAGATAGGGTTGGATGCAGAATGTTGGTAAGCGGCGTATGCTCGTTCACGAGTAGTAACAGGCTTTATTATTCCATTATAATATTCAATTAATTTTTAAACGAAATTTCATCAACATTATTGATTTATTAGTGCAAATTACTTTTGATCAATCAATAATAAATGTGATTGTATCAACTATTTGTGGGTGTGTAATGTAAAGTACTAACACTAAACTATTAATACTGACGAAAATTGTTAGAATAAGTTTCTGTTGTTGTTGTTGTTGTTGTTGTACAGAAAACAGATGAATGACACCTTTTGTATAAGTGTACGTGTATGTATGTATGCGTGTGTGTGTGTGTGCGTGTTTGTGCGAGGGGTGGTAATCATTATACCACTATTTAAAAGTACATTGTACTCTTTATATTGTTCTATTAGTTACCTAATGATACTGAATAGAACTCACATGACTACTAAGTAATAGAAGAGATTTTTGAAAAAAAATTTCGGGACAAACATACAAATGGAATTTTAACTGTAATAACCAATTAGAATTATGATTGTGTGTGTGTGTGTGTATTTGTGAAGACCCGAAAACACAAAAAAAACATACAACTATGAGTTCAAGATTATCGATACCAATAAGCTGAAGTTTATGAAGTATATAGATCATTCTAGACCTATAATATCATCAAATGATCATAGATACTAAATTCTTTGTGTGTGTGTGTGTGTTTGTGTTTGTTTGTGTATACATGGTGCAGTTAGATAGATCTCTCTGTAGGTGTGTGTGTATGTGTATGGTGTATGATGTATCTACGCCTATTCATTTGATCTTATTATTGAACCTAAATATATAATCACTTGATATAACAATGACATACATTAACTCTTCTTGGATTATCAAATACTACTTATTATTATTATTATTATAGAAATAGAATTCATTTCATTTCATCAACGTTTTAATAGTTAACCATTGTGGATTACGTAACAGATATATATATATATATATATATATATCACTTCTTTCTAAATCTTTATTCTATTTACAGCATCCATTTGTACTACTGTACTACTGTACTACTACTACTAATACTACTAATACTACTGTAAACATTACAATTAGTAACTATGCCAATGTATGTAGATGTGAAGATGTATAGAGATGTATTACTGATCATGTATATCACAATAATAATAATGATGATGATGATGAATTCTTTTATTCAGAATGAATGACAAGTATTCGTATCATTACTATTGAATGAATAATTAAATATACATCTATTTATCTATCTATATATATATATATATATATATATATATATCTACATCAATATAGTGAATGGCTAGTCAAGCAAGTAGAATGGAAAGTAAATTATATACAAGTCATTTAATGAATTCATCAACAACTCCAACTATTACAACTAAATCTACATTACCTATTATTGATCAAGATGGATATACAAGGAGTTATTTTAAAGAACCTATTCCATCATCATCATTATTCTCATCAACACCATTGTTCACTTCAACTCATCCTAGAATTGTATCAACAAAAGATATTGGAAATAATAATAATATGAATGATAATACTATTGAAACATACACTAAACGTACTATTCATAGTAATGAATTAGGATCTAGATTATCACCAATAATAACAAATAGACAATCAAATGAATTCATGATAAAATCTACGGAACCATCATCACCAATAGTGGATTATTTATTATATGATGCACCAGCATGGATGAGACAATCTAAAATAAAAAATCATAAAGTAATTAGTAGTGTGAATAGTAGTTCAACAATATCTTCTAATATTATAACAACAACAACAACAACAGCGACAGCGGCAGCAGCCGCAGCTGCAACCGCAGCGAGAACACCAGTAGTGACAACAATATCACCATCATCTAATATAACGCATATTGTTAATGATACAAAACCTAATACAGATAATATTACAATTATACATAAGGAGAATGTGAAGAATATGAATTCTGGTAATCGAATAACAATACAATCCGATTTAAATAATAATAATAATAATCATTTCATACGATCATCAAGTCCTCGATCGAATGGATCATTTCGATTTGTAAAATCTGGATCACGTAAATTTCCAGGTAAGGTAAATAATAGTACACATTCTTGTTAAGTTTTGGATTGAGATCATGAATTAATCGATGTTAGATCACTATTGAGAAGCTAAGGTTACTAGAAGTTGGTTTTGTTCTAGTATGAGACTCCTCAGCAGTACGCATTCACTATCAAATGTGAAAATACTACAACCTCTACAAATCCTCATTCTAATAATAATCATGTGCTCACTAATCACTAGGTTCAAGATGGATTTCTTAAAATACTAGTGAGAAGTCATGACCTGTAGAGTTTAGTTTGTGCCGGGTAGAGACAGTTATTTACCTCAGACAATCGATAAGAGGTTGCGCAAGATTATTGATCGATTGAAGTTAGAAATTAACTTGGTTGGATACCGGTTCAGTGGATAAGAGGTTAAGTCATCGCCTGTTAGACCGAAGGTCTTAATTTTGAATCATGGATGTACACTTCTAAGGAGTCCCATACTAGAACGAAACGGTCGTCTAGTGCTTCCAAGTGTTCATTGATGGCCTAGCTTAGATCAACTCGTGAATTCAACCTTAAGATATACATTTAATCATAATGTTGATCAAAGGCAAACTTATTTTTCCATTTAGAGACTGAACATTTTAGTTAAATGTTATTCCTATTAAGATGTATTACCCACCATTATGATTTCTGCATTGAAAGTTTATAGTATCTTTTTCTCATGGGAATACATTACAGTCACTGTATATTAGGTGAGTTATTGAATATTATAGTTGGTCAGATACTAGAAACGAATTGTTAAAATATGTGAATAGTTACTATGGCAAATAGTTCAGTGATTTAGTCAGTGCTTTGAATTTCTAACGATTTAACTACATTCTCACCACTACCCGTTTTTGTATCACTAATGTGTTGATTCGTATGCGTAAAATGGTGTAGACGATTTGTGATTAAAGTTGGATCAATTTAGTGAAGTTTAGTTCAATGAACTGGATTGTTTGTTTGGTTGTAAAGTTCTCGATATTTAAAAGAACCAAGAACACTTCATGAATTCTTCATCTCAGCGAACAAAACTCGACCAAAATGATTCGTATAATTTCTTGCTCATTCTTTATTATGTAAGGAAACAAGAGATAACTACAGTAGAATTTATGGATTGAATATGTTTATCTATGGAAATAGATATCATGGTAACGGTATAGTGAATGAACACTTAGGTGGGGTAAACTAAATTATTGTTTCATGCATTATCACACAGTAATTTAGTAAAATGTGAAAATCTTACATTAAATACATCTACTTCGATGTTGTTTTTACAAGCTTCGCCGTTCCTTCATTCCTGTTGTTATCTGGATTGTTTTCAGTTTTTCTCATCTCTTCTCTTCATTTTAATCTTCTCAACTTTCTGCTCGTAGATATTCGACTTCCGATCGATGTTACATACTACTTATATCTGCAAATATAAGTAGCATACAACATAATGGGACCGTTTGTCAACATTTGAAAATAAATATGAATGTCAACTAGTCACTGTTTAAAAACGTGTGTTTACTTTTCTTAACATATTTATAATTATAACTTCACAACAGAGCACACAGTATTGGACTATGGCCACATTCCCGATGGATCGATATAATTCGATCTATGTTAATTCACATTAGTTTATGCCCAAATATTTTTTTGAACTGTATTCACTGAAGCGAGTATTATTGTGGTGTGTTAGTACTGTGCATGTAGAGGATTCGCATTAGTAATCCCTCACAGAGTATCTCACGTCTATATCAAGTCGATAAACCTTACTTAGTAAGAAGCTGGACAAAGTAGACTTAAGCAAATTGATAAGTATGAGATTTGGACGAATACACACTATTAGTTAAGATTTGAATTCTTTTTCTGAAGAGACACAAATACACTATGGGTTGAAAATTTGACAAACTTTCTAAGCAAAACAGTGGTCTTGAGGTTCATCGTTTGAGCGCGAGACTGAAAGTCCCAGGTTCGAGTCTCATGTGAGGGATTATGGATATGCACTGCTGGGGAGTCCCATACTACGAGGTAGATATATTAGTATATGGGATTTGCAGAATTTACAGACTTTGAACAATTCAAATCACCGGACTATCTTAGCTAAACCAAGATTCAAAATCTAGAAGCACTGCGTAGCTGTTTCATCGCAGTATTGAACGCCTCAACAACACGAATCTACGATCCTGCATGTAGGACTTGAACCCACGACCTTTGGTCTCGCGCGCAAACGCTAAAAATTTAGTCTACTGAGCCGGCATCAAATGGTGTTCATGTTTACCTTCATTCAATTCACGATATCTCACAACCCACATCGATCGCCTGCTATGGATAACCATCTGACACCCAACACGACTCGAACTTCAACTTATAAATGTGTTGTACTGATAATTTTTGCTTGGCTAATCAATAAAAAGCTCTTTACTCACTCTCGGTTTCCTAATTCAAGTGTTTGCTTTTGACAAACATATAGCAAGTGTATATATTAGTAGAAGCCTCAAACAATAGCTAAACACAACGCTTACATTGTGAATTTAAACACTGTTATGTTGCCCTAATGTTATTTGACAAATCGGATTTAAATCATGAACTGACTATAGTTATAAAATCAGGAAGGGCTTTAAAGATATTTCGTTGTAGAATTGGATTCCTCGGTGGTAGTGTGCATCCACAATTCCATTAGATTCTGAACCCAAAACCTCCAGGTCTTTCAACTAAACTTTAACTTTAAGGTTACGGAGTTAGGACCCAATAGTTTATAATTACAAGTTCAGGGAATTTACTATATCGCTTAACGATTTTTCAATGCCACTGGTAGGTGACCACTTCACATTTGAAATTGTTAAGCTCGATTGATCATAATTACTCACCAGAACTCCGTAAGTTACCTTTCGAAACAGGTCACTAATGAACATATAGTTACTACCAATTTGCGGGTTCGATCCCTATTAGAGTTGTAGATGGAAAGTGCTGAGACGTCCATACCAAAGCGAAACATCTGCCTAGTTCTTCACGGTCATCAATGGTTGCTTGATTAAGGTTAATCTGTAATGTAAATTTCAAAAATTGAAAATCTCCATAAACTCCGTACACTAGTGACAAACAATCTTTACTCATTGATGCACGTCCACAAGACCATATTAGAATCGACTACGGAATTTCAACTCTTGTGACGTGTAACATATCTTCACATTATCTACTTATAATTCAGTTGGTTGATGTCACCTACAAACCTTCTTAATGAAACCTTTGGAAATCTAATATCGTAATTATTCACTGGCATAATATTTATTTATTTATTTTAACACATAAACATTGGTACAGTGAGGCAACAAATATATATGCGCCACACAATTTATTCAATATATGTGAGGGCTGCGATACTGCCTGGTTGCCCAAACCGAAGCAGGTGGTTTTCTTAGGTGGGGGGAGGCACACCCAGAGCCTTCGACCTAAAGGTCCGATCTACAACGTAGTGGAGCAAAGTAAGGAAATGCAATCCCATGGTAACCGGTGACCAACGATTGATTCATACACTATTTGTTCCCTCAGGGTACTAGAGTCCATGTCCACCATTGGTTTGGAATGAGGGTATTCCAACTCTCATAGGTGAACTCTCCGTGGCTGTCTATCCGGTTAAATCGCCGGACATTCGTTTTTGTCCTCTCAATTTCGTAAACAACACTCGTGGTGCGAGAAAGGAGTGAGTGGGACTTTCCTTGGAGTCGTTGTATGCACGTGGTCATGTGAGAGCATTTCGAGAGGAAGAGTTGACTCTCCTCACTCTCGGCTGTACCACGATTTTGGGTGTGATCCTTGAGCAGGGACCATGCTAATCTTCTCTGTATTGTTCCAATTTTAGTAAATGTACCACCTAAGTGAGTTAGTGTTTGTGAATAGAGATTCCAGTAGGTTCAGCAATATACAACAGACGAAATCGTAAACCATGGAATTCTTGATCACTCTCGCCTGTTCTTTACTCAACCATGGTGGATCATGTTACGCTATGTGATGACGGACTTCCCGAATTGTACACCCTATATAATCGGCTCCACAGGAATATTTGAACTGATAAATACATATGGATGTGGTGAATTTAGGCAGTTTGTCTTTATTGACGGTTCTCATTATCGAGCAGTTATCGAAAACCGTATTCAGTTTGGCTGCGGTAAATGTTTTCTGCACTACATTTCTTGACCCCTGAGTTACAATTTCCTCAGTAGTGTCATTCGGGAATTGCAATTTCAAGAACGGTGCTTCCTCCAAAGTGGTAGACATATTCGATCTTCTTTTCATTTCATTTATATGGTCCTTGATAAATTTCATTGGATATCTATTTTAACAGTTGAGGTCATGAGTCACTTGAAGCTAGACCACCATGGAAAACCTGGGAGCACTGGATGGCCGTTTCTTCCTATTGCGAGATTCGAACACAGGACCTATCAGTCTCGCGCCAGGCGCTTAACCAACCAGACCACTGAGCCGGTATCCAACGGTGTTAATGTCTAACTTCAACTAATCCACGAAATTGAGCGACACATCCATCATTGTCATCAATGAGTTACTACCTCACAACAGACCCGGTTGAACTCCACTGGTCACTGCTTCTCACTAGAACTCCAGGATATATTTCTTGAAGCTAGTCACTAGTGAGCATATGTTGATTGGTATCAGAACGGGTTTTATGGAGATTGTAGTAATTTCAACAGTTGAGATCATGAGTCAATTGAAGCTAGACATTATGAATATTATTCAATTCATCTAAAATGATTTCATCAGAATAAATCATTCTAGCATAATCGATAATTGATAGATGGATGAATATTATCAAATACATTTAGTGAATAATCCTTCACATGTTGCTTTTCTACTACCATGAAAGTATCATCTATATAGTGGCAGTAAGATGTGACATAGCTGACTGTATCTTTAATTGATTCATTTTCCGATCTTACAAGAAAAAAATGTTTGTCAGGAGAGGATCCAACGGCTACACTTTCCATATATCTATGGT